ATTGCTGCTCCCAGCTGGCTCGAACAAAGGGATGGGACTCAAACCTTGTGGGCAGCGATGGGTCTGCAGGTGCCTGTAGCTCAAATACGGGTTTGGAAGCAATCAGCACTTTCTGAGAACAACAACTCAAATTACATTTCTGTTATGGTACTTGCCGAGGTCCTCGTCATGTTCTTGCTTGTTAAGTTTTGTACAGGTAGTCAAATCTTGTTCCTATCCCTTTGTACCCACAGTATTTAAACAATTTAAACATTTAATTGCCTGACTAATGGCCGGAGAAGGCTGCTTACCTCTGCTTTGGTGTCTTCTGCAGTTATTTACTGTCATTATTTTACAGCCCTCTTTCCAACTAGAAATGGTATCCAGGCCTTTAGGAAAAGGGGAATTTCAGCTCTATTTAGTCACAGCTGGCCCAGGAAATGATGACAACTTGCCCCACAGTCCCTCATGAAAATATTTCCTTTGTTCTTTAACCAAATTTATCCTCACTACATTTTGTCCTTGCTCTGGGGCAATTGCAATTTTCTTTTTTTTTTTTTTTTTTTTGGTGTGCAGGTGAGTGTCATGTCGCTTCTCCAAGTCTCATACCCAGTGAAGTGGAACAAATCTGCATAAATGAGCTTTCTCAGCTAGGAGCAGGTCTTGCTGGGGCGCCTGTCCCCTCTCTGTTTATGGCAGGCCTGGTGAGAGGACCTGCCTTGGGTCTTGGCCCTGAAACGAGCCTGGCTCTGTTAGTTTGACCAGAAAGAAAGTAGAGGGAGGGAGTTGATGTGGCTGTTGAGGCTCACCAGGGGCCTCCAGATCTTGTAAAGCAAACTCCAGCGCTGTAGGAATTGGCAATCAGCAACCTGGTCCGCAGGAAGGAAGAGGTCTCAGTGCTGCGGGTGATGCAAAATAGCAGTAAAGAGAGAGCAAAAAGCCCCCAGAGGAATGGTTTGGGTGGTGCTACTGGTGGGGTTGGTGTCTCCAGGGCGCTGGGTGATGCTTCTGACCGTGAGACGGCAGCGAACTGAAATAATGAGGGAAAGGAAAGAGGAAAGCAGCTGCGGTTAGAGCCACGCACACCCCTAGAAAAACGGTGGGCGCTGATGCAGGTCGGCGTGAAACAAGAAACGTGGCGGTTTGCAGAGCAGCTCTCCGAAAGGCCACGTGTCCTGCGGGGTGTTGATGATGATGATGAGCAAGGGCGGAGAGGTGGGGAAGGCTCACCGCAGCCAGGTTCACCAAGGTAGACGGTGCAGGTCCAGTCCTTGGCCACAGCACAGCTCCAGTGAGGAGCAGCCCCAGCACAAAGGCGGAGCTGTAAGTGAGGGATAACAAAATGTATCGCTTTCCCCCAGAGGGCACAGAGCCCTCCCGGAGGTGGTGGTCTCCATTTCTTTCAGCCCCTCCATTGCCGGGTGCAGCTTTAGGCATCGTGCACTGCTTTTCTGTTGCTTCAAAGCTCTCCCTGCCAGAAATAAAAACATGAACACCCAACAGTCATTTGTCACTCTCAGCCCTGGCCTCTTGCCACCTCCAAGAAATCTGTAAAATCCTGATTAAGGCACGGACAATCCTCTAAAGAGATGAAACTGCGGTGGAAACGGTGTGTCCCTGCTACCACTTCAATTCAACCAGAGCAGCAACTGCTGCAAACACGTGGTGTATCCCTTGGGCACCAGCACTGTATCGCAAGGGCATTTAAATGAAGGTTTTTTTGCAAATGCAGGCTCTGCCACATGCTGAAATTCCTCTGAGCTTTAGGTCACTTTAGGGGGGGCAGTTGAGGGAAGGGCTCAAGTGAGGGCACGTTTTGGGAGAGGCAGTGCCTGGGGCTGCTGCTACTTTGGCATTGCACGTAGGTTGGTTGGGACAAGGTGAATTTACAGCTTGCCCAGAGCAGCAACAAGAAAACAAACCTGATGGATAGCCATGGGCGGCCTTGCTCGGTGGGGAGCAGTTTGCTCAAAATATGTGTTCATTGCAAGCTGAGAAAATACGGATGACATTTCCCAGAGGAGTGGGGAAGAGGTGTTTTTTCTCCTTTCTGGTGTTCCCTTAGTCCCATTTAGAAAATATTCATATAATAAGCATAGACTTTTTTTTTTTTTTTTTTTAAGTTTGTACTCTACATAGCTCCTAAATGTCCCAGAAAAGCAAGGGAACCAGGAGAGATTTCCTAGCAGGCATTCTCTTCTAAAGAGAGCAAGGATCAAACCAAACTGAGAAATGACTGAATGTCTTTCTGTTCTTAATTTAGGGGAAAGCTCAGTAACTTCTGCGTGTGGCCAGCTGAGCCAGAACTGTTTGAAGAGATTTCTCCTGGCAGGAACGGTGAAGTGCATGTTCGGGTGAGCCTCTCTGATTTTTATCTACCAGGGATGCTCATTCCACACTCTCAGGTCGGGCCCTGTTTGGGTTTGTCTTCTGCTGTAAGTCACCATGAACCCCTCGGAGCATTTCTGAGCTCCTGGGTCATTACATCTCTCCCCAGACGCTCCTTTGCCACGATCCTGCAGTGATTCTGCCCGTGGAGGGTCCTGGCTGGCTCCTCTCTGCCTGGTCCTTACTGCAAAACCCCTCCAGGCATGCCCTGGCCCCCCCGAGTATGAAAAGGGTTTTAACCCTCACTAAGTAGTGACATAAATAACTAACTTAACTTCAGTATCTCAAAATCTGTAATTTACTGCTTGGCTTTTGAATTATTATACCAATTTCTTCATAATCTCCCTTAGGTAATTTGAGCAGCAAACTTCCACTCTTACTACTTTGACCCTTTGAAAAACTGTGCAATAAGGATACCACATCTGTGGTGTTAACTGGGAGCCAGTTCTGGGGCTGCTCACCCTCTGAAATTAGGGAACATGGTTCTGGACTGGAGGATGAAATCAGGGGGCAGGAGGTGGGGAAGTGAGGTTTATCCCAACAAATGCTTCTGTTTTCTGGGCTGTCACTAGAGGTCAGCACCGCAACGTGAATATACAAGAAATGTTTTGTGTATTAGGACAAAAAGTCTTATCCGAGGCTGCAACTACTCTCATTCGTGTCACTTACATACATGACTTTGGAGGTTGGTTTCCAAAGATAAATATTAATACCAGCAGTCTTCAGCGGGAAGAATTCGCTTTTATTTTTTCTCATGCAAATAAAACAGGGTAGGGTAATAAAGTGACCAAACTTGCCTTTTCTTTTTTTCAGAGCTGAAGCACAGAATGGTTAGATTGGAAGGGTTCTCTGGAGATCACCTAGTCCTGCTCAAGCAATCATAAATGAGTACGTCTAATTTTCTGAAATACCAGCCCGTTTGTGTCCCCTGCCAGCTGCCTGAGGCTGCCGTGGTTTGCAGCTCAGACTCAGCTGTAGTTACCTTTGGTCCATTTTTTTGGAAAAAGCTCCCGTTCCCCACAGCGCTGCTGGATAATCTGCTGGAGATGCTGGTTAACTCCGATCCAGCCCAGGGCAGAAGTGTAACCAAAGCTGCTGCCATCCCACCCGCTATGAGTTCAGCGACGGCTGCGGCCGTTGCGTTGTCTCTTTGGTGGACGTGGAGCAAACTGTGGCCCCTGGTTCACACAACGGGACGGGTGACACCGCAGCCCCTTCCCTGAACCGGAGCTGCTGGCTGGCAGCATTGTCATCCTCAGCAAAAATCCCTTTGACCACACTCAGACGTGTTTTGTGAAGCCTGAAGTTGCATAGAATGATGTAAGTCTGAATTCTAGCTGGAGTGATCCCTGCTGTCATCTACGATATATATGAAGCAAAGTTCTTTAAAACAACTCCCTCTCAAAAAAAAATCCAACCCTCTGGATTAGATGGAAAAGAAAGGAGTGGTCAAAAAACTCCTCAAATTTTGCAATCCAAGACCTAAATAGTGTATTCCATAGAGAAGGGTGATGTGTGCTCAGTGGTTTCTCATGTAGCCGTGTGTATGTTCAGGCACAGGGAGGGCTGCGGACCCCTTTCATGATCAGGCCTTGGTGTTCCCATCACAAAACCCTCTTGTTTTCTGCAATTTCACTTCTATCAAGAGCTCATTCTGTTGGTACAGTCTTGGTGGGTTGCAGCAGGATAGAGAAATTTCTGCTGCATGGAGTCTTGGTCCAACCAGGTAGTTACGTCCCCCAAAGCCCTCAGATCTCTTGAATTTGTTTCAAGATGGGTAAATTCTTGATCTTCTCCGTTTCGTCGGGAGGGATTCGGTCCATGTTGCTTAGGCTGCTGGCCTGGGAATAGTTTGCGCTGGAGACCGGCGCGTTATTCAGTGTGTTTCTGAGCGGTTTTGGGGTGCGTGTTGCGAGGCAGCTTTGTCTGATCTGGCTGGAAAGGTGCCACTGGAGAAGTTTCAGCTGGGGTCCTGTGGCTGGATCTCACCTTTGAAGGAAAACCTACATATCTGTCTTAGGGCATCTGTGGATTTAGGGCTGAAACTTTTGTTCTGCAAGCAAAATGTGGGGCCTTCCAGCAAACAGAAGGAAGGAATTAGTTCCTGTTCTGTTTCCTCTGAACAAGCAAATTCTTTCTGGAATTTTTATAAAGCATCTGCAGATCTGTAAACATCAGGCTGTTCCTCAAATTATTAAAAACTGTGTTACTATAGTATCTTAATTAATTGACTTGTTTACATGTTTATGAAGCTCTGTCTGTAGATATAAACCAGCTGTTAATGTCACTAATTCAGAAATAGTGGAGCTGGCATCTTGTATTTCTCTTGTCAGCTGAAATGATGATTGAACATAACTGGCCACTTCAAATTAAGGTAAGTGAACTAACTGCCTTAGAGCAGCTGGGGTGAAATGGCTCACTTATGGCTGTTGCAAATTGATGAAAAAATCTCGGATGTCACTTAAATACTTACGGGAAATTGGTTAACCTACTTAACACTGAAGACTTAAAGACTTTTTAAAAATTCTACTTTACTCCCAGAGCCGGTGAATGTCTACAGGTGAGCATTAGATGTTTTTATTTAATATTATTCTATTTTTTTAGATATGTTTATAGTGTAGCAGTGGGAGCAAATCATCTTAGATCTGCTGGTCAAGATGAAGCCTGTTGGGGCATTGTCTCTTAAAATGCCTTCACGGTGTTCCCTGTTGGCCTCTTCCATGCTGGATGGTTTTGCGTGGCTGTTGGGTCATCTCTTACAGTCGGCATTTCGGAGTAAATCAACCTGTTAACCCAAGTTTAAAACCACCTTATTTGGCTTTGATGTTGCTTTATTATGAGCAGGCTGACTTGGGATGGCCCTCACTTACCATCCTGCGTTTCAGACCTACCTTGAATATGAGGTTAAGAATAAAACTTCACTTGAGACGCTTAGGCTATCAGAAACTATATTGCTTATAAGAAGAGCCCCCAAAAGCAGTTTTTTCCAGTCTTTGTATATAAAATTCACTTAAAATTGTTTTTAGTGAGACTAGAGGTGATATCCCAGTGTATAAAATCTGTCAGAAATAATTGATAAACGTATGAGAAGCTGACTGAAAATTGAAGGAAAGATACGGCATTGCCAGGATTCATTTAAATACAAGAGCTATGCATTTAGATTGATTTATTTTTGTGCCAATAGATTCTGACAGAAATATAGTGATATATAATGTATTGACTGTAATGTCAACATTATTTTAAAGCTGACTCGAGGAAAAATATCTTGTTGTTAGTGCTGAAATATCATGCTTTATTCTGCTGAAGGGGGAATGCCTACAGTCAAATAACCTCTTTCTCAAGACCCTTTGTAATGGCTCTTAAGATGAGTGAGTAACAGCAGAGGTGACCTGTCTCAGGGCACTCTGTGTCCTGAAATTGTTTTGGGACTTTCAGGGCAATAGCAGAGGGACTGGGAGCAGCACGTCCTGTGGTGCTGAGGCTGTGGCTGTGCTGGCACAGCCCAGCTCTGCGCCCCGTGCCTTTGCCTTCTGTTTTGGAGTCTCTTAAACTTGCATCCACACTACACAGCAGGTTGGCCCTTAGGCTGGCCCTTAGGTAGCTTTTAATGCTAATCACAGTTTTATACCATGCACTGTGCATGTTGTATTATGTAAAACCAATGGGTTACAGGTTGTCAAACTGACCCTATTTGAATTTTGCTTTAGGGTCTTTAATCTTTTTTTTTTGACTTGTTTTGGAGCTAACCTTGCTAGAGGCGGAGGAACTACTAGATGTTTCGGGGGGAAAGGGTAGATATTCATTGACTGAACAGTCTAGTGCAAAAGGGATTCACCTTTTCTCTTCACTGCTTCTGCTCTTTACCTGCTGTTCTGAATTTTCCAGGTCAAGTCTCTGGATGTTCAGTGAAGCAACGTGACCTTCAGGACCAGGCAGATTGGTGTTGGCTGTGGCCATTGGAAGTCAGTGGAAACCTCAGGCTCGCAGTGGGTCTACCTTTCTCAGTCCAGGCTTCCGTTGGTCCCCAGGAGGAATGTGCCAGCCCACTTCTGACTTAGATCCGCTGCCTCCAAATCCTTCTGGTTTTGCTTTGTTTTAAAGCAAGCAAACAATACAAAACAAAACCCAAGCCAAACAAACAAACAAACAAAAAACCCTGAAAAGTTTCTTTTCCATTAAAACTGCTTTGCAGCACTCAGCTGGCTGGTGCCTTTGCATTCAGTCAGCGTAGGTAGGAGAGCTTGGCTGCGCACAGAGCGGCGCTGCTGGCACAAGGGGGGCTACTGCACGCTGGGTTTGTGCCATGGTCCTGCTGTAGCCCATGAACCATAACGGCAGAGAGATGGAGTTAGCCTGAAGGCTTTTCTTCTACTTCTTATATTGTTAGCTTGCACTTAGTCTGCTTAAATTATGCCCAAGTGTACCACTTCAATTTAAGTCTACCTTTGCAAATTTTACAAGCTTTCATCCCTTTTTACCCTTAGCATCTTTCTAGTAACTTATTCTGAGTGTGTATAACGTGTGGAAGTGGTTGTGGCTCGTTGCTCAGTGTCACAGCCAAGAAGCAAAGCAGTGTCTGCAGTTTTGCTTGAAGCCTGCAGTTGATGTACCCCCCTGGAAAAGCCCCTTAGACCCGTAACACTTAATTTCTCCGCTTAGGTGGCCGCTGGGTGCAGATGTGTTGAGCACCTGCAGCTCCAGGCGCGGTGAGTAAAAGCTCCACCTGATTTTCACCTCTGCAAATCCTTGCTAGGTAACCTCATCCCAGCACCCACAACTCCTGTCTGTGTTGGTTTTAGGTTGGCTTCAGCCCCCTGGCAGGGAAGGGCAGTTGCCAGGAGCCGAGCTCAACAGGACTCGCTGTGACATTTCTATTCACATATGAATTGTTTTAAAAGCGTCAGATGGAGAGCAATATACATAGATGTAAGTTTTTCCCTTTGCATCAAATGATTTTTTTTTTTTCTTTCTCATTTTCTCCTGCATTTTTTTACTTCCACGTTGTACAGGCTGCTGATATAAAGGGTTTATTCATGAGGTTAACCTAATTACTGTCTTCAGAAACAAAGCCTGTTTCTACAGTGAATATCCTTTTGATATCCATCATCTGAATATTGCCTAATAAAGTTAGCAAATGGCCTCCAAATGAACCAAAATGATTCAATATCTCATCTAGCAAAGAATGTATTATGGTTTTACCGATAGTGACAGAAATGTTTAAAATTCTCAATGCGTTGCTTTGCTGGTGGATTAATATGCATTTTTCTGTCTTGAGATGAAGAACACCGTCTGGATTTAATGCCACACTTACAAAATTGCTGATGTGAGTCTCTGTTAAAGCTATTTTATATACACACTGGAGAGTTTACCAGAGACAACCGCAAAGTTCACTTTGAGTAGCTCCAACACTTGTAATCAGTAACTAAAATGTATTCGCGGAGTGGCAAGACTAAAAGGCATGAATTTAAGTGCCTTCATATATTTTCCTTGCTTGGAACAAAGGTGGTACATTTTTCATGTAAGCAAAACTCCTTGGAGTTGAGTATACTGTGGGGAGATAATTAAGAGAGGTCAATATATACTGATTGATTGAGTTGTGACCCGAGCATAGGCTCGTTATCCACGTACTGCGATGGCCAAGCTCCAGCGTGCGCGGCTGGTGGCTGGCTCCCTGGGCTGGCTTAGCTGCTGCTGGAGTCATCTCGCAAGGTCTGCATGTTGGGTTGACACGGGGGGATAGTTTACATTTGGTCAGACTTCCCTGGCTTCCGTGTGAATGTTGGTGTGAAAACCTGACAGAAAAGGCCATTTCAGCCCTTCATGGTGCTTACTGCAAAACAAATGTTCGATGCTCGACTCAGTCATTTGTTTTTTCTTTTGGGGGAGAAACAGAAGTGGTAAGTGAATGCAAAATTGACCTTTTTTCCCCTATGGATCATCATTCTCTTAAGTGAATTCTTGGACAAAAAAATTTAAGATTTAGCTTGCCTTCTGTGAAGCAGAACCCCAGCTAATCCTGTTAAAAAGAACATAGCCAGCAGATTTCAACGTTCTCGCTGCTGCCTACCTGCTTGATGCTTGCAGGTATTCGTGAAGGAGGCTGAGGCAATCTTTATGTTCTTAATCTTCCATCTTTACGTGGACTGGAACTTTTATGAATCATTTTACTTAATTATAATATATCCTGATTGGAAAATACTAGTTTGTCAGAGAACATTTCAAAAAGCATACTGACAAACTGCCTCGTTCCACTGAGTGCAAAAACCCAGCGTTAAGCGACGATGATGTCTGATGCGTCCAAAGGAAAATCATTATTTCAGTTACTTCTTAAATAGCTCTCTGGATTGGAAAGAGAATCTGAATTAATGGTAGTTTGGCATCATTATATATTAATGGGCTCCATCTGATTTATTTTTTCTGGCAGTTATCCACTCGCACGATGTATTACACCTGACTGTTCCATTTCCCCTGCTATTGAGTGGTAGATGGTGGATTAGTACCTCGAGCCAACGAGAGAGGCTGCATGGGAATATAATGGGATCTCACATCATTTTTAATGGTGAGTTATGGTCTGTCACGCAGAATATCTGGACACACTTAATAACTTTCTGATGGCAACTGTAACAGACGGGAAGGTACGTCTTGCCACTGAGCTGCTAGAGAGGCAGGCTCCTGCTCGCCAGATGCACCGAGTTGCCTTTGTAGATATTTTTGTAATTACAAACTTTTTCCTAGCTCCAGTAGTGCTTAAATAAAAAATAAATCCCATGGAATTATATTGCTGAATATTAAAGTCAGTATTTATTTGCAAGAGTCACTTTGGGGTGCCTAATTTGTCCGCGAGAGCAAGGTTTTCTGCTCAGGCTGCAAAATGGTGCAATAAAAATCAGTGATTGATGTTTATTATCAGATTAAATGGTTTAGCTGTGGGGATCAAAGTTATAAATTACAGCCCTCCCCAAGCTGTGATTGGCCACCAGAGATCTTTCTAAAGTGCCAGCGTTTTTTAATGAGATCGTATATTTTCAAGTCCCTAACAGTATCAACTTTTGTAGTTTATTGAAACTGTGTTTAAAATAACAGCTTACCGGGTGTCAAAAATATTGGATATGTTTTGTATTTGCTTGGTCAGACATCCCAGAGGAAAAAAGCATGAGTTAAAAGCAAAGGTTTTGTTTCCCAAGCAAAGTCTGAGGACTTGAGGAGCGGGAGGGATGCCATCCTCTGGCTCTACACTGATGTAATTTTTGCTGCTTCTGGTTTTTGGTCATTTCACTACAAACATGGGGCCTCAACATGCAGCAAATGCAGCTCTCCCTCAGGCTGCCTCCCTGGCACGCTGCAAAGGGGAACTGTAACCTGGTTATTCACAGAAATTAAATATTTCCGTTCCTGAGTGTCATGGAGAGACTGCAGCGTTAGTGTAGTGGTGGCTGGCCCAAAGTTTAATGCTCAGATTTTTCCCAGTTGGGAGACTGGCCTTGGTGACACCAGTGTTTTCCCCCACTGTTCAGTGAAGTAGAAGAAATGGAGATTTCTCTAAATGACAGAAGAATGGAAACACCCTAATATTATGTGCTTATAGCTGATGGGCATGCCCTAAATATCAGAAGCATAATATTCAAATAACAGACATTTGATGAAAGGAACACTGAAATAATTTTGTTTGACTGCTAGTTTTCAGATACAGGGTTTAAGAGCAATCTAAGAATAGCTAAAATTTAGTCTGCCATTAGAGAAGACTAAATTATATTTTGTTACTTGCTATGGGAGATTCATAATTGGGGTAAAATCTTAACTGTGAAAGCATTAATCTCAAGTTACAGTATTGTAGCATCAAAAGCATGACATTGTCTTCCTGTCCCCAGGACATTCTTTGTTAGAAAATCATTTGTTTTACTCAAAGGAGGTCTTTTTTTTTCTTTTTGTATTAAAAAGTTGGGTCTTTTTTTCCTTGTGGCTGCATTTACTCTCAGGAGATTCTGATTAAGCAGCTCAGTTCAAAAGAGTTTGCACTGTACAGTCATTTGGGGGGGGGGGGGGGTGAGGGGGGAAATCATTAGGCGTGCTGTGGGTATTGCAGCTGCTCAGCTCGGGGGGAGTTTCAAAGCAGGTTCTCTTCTTTCATTCCTCCTGCATCAGCACATCAGCTGCTCTTCCCTGGGCGTCAAGATAAACGAGGGGCTTTTTCAAAGGTGAGAAAATATTATTTAAAGCAATGTACAAGTAGCTCCTGATTTGCAGCCAGTCGGGCAGGTGTTATTTCCCTTCTCTTACTCATGGGGGAGGGACTTGCCCAAAGCCCACCTCCGGTGTGGGGGAACCCCGTTCCTGCACCCTGATTTTTGGGGTGTGCTTGCTCTAGCATCGCTGGAAGGACATAACTGAATGAAGGAGCGCTTGCTGTAATTCTGGCAGGTTCATACATGGAGTGATTGGGTTTGTCGTGAAGACAAATTGCTCTGTTTTTTATATATATATATATATTTTTTTTTTTTAATTATTTTTAAAGGTTAAAATGAGCAAAGGCAATCTGTGACTGCTGCAGCAGAGGTAAAGCCCAATGTGTAGCAGAGATCTGGGCACTGGCATGGAGCTGGCCCTCCCTCGATGCAAGTAGCTGCTGTAATTGCACCTTTACCTTGTAAGCCCTGGTGGAAAATAATTAAATTTCATAAAAGCCTGTCTCATTTTCAGCCCCTGAGGGTATCAATTAAATGTAATAATGGTAACTGCAGCTTTTAAGCAAATATGTATTTTTTTTTTTTTAAAAAAAAAAAAAAGAAATGAGGTGCAATCTTTCGCACAGCATGGAGCTGAGGACTTTATTTCCCTGTTTCTACCCCCTCACTGGAAATACCCCTCCTGTCAAGTCTCAGGACCAGCCTTTTAGGCCCAAGAAACAGAGGCAGGGAGATTTTTCGGGGTTTCTTTGGTGTCCAAAGGCAGGTCCTGGAGGTACCAAGTGGTGCCCGTCATTTTACATCACTTCGCTGGGATATGCCATGCGCAGTAACCTTAACCTGCCCGAGCCAGATCTTTAGGAATAAGTCACCATAGAATTTAGAATTTTGTTTGTGTTTTTTTTTTTTTTTTTTTTTTTTCTTTTTCCTAGTGTCTTGCCACAGATGAATGTGTGTGTGTGTGTCCCCATGCTCAGATGCAATGTAAGGATTTCTACACCTCGGGATATCCGCTTTAAAAATAAATTAGCGTGGCCTGCACACCTGATCTGGAGGCTGGCCCCTTCGGCTGCTCGTCGCCGGGCTGCAGCTCCGTTAGCAGCGGCACGAGCTGCTTTATGAGAGCATTCCAGAAGCAGCATACACCTTCTGCAAGGTTGCGTCAGAGGGAAATAAAACACTGAAATTATCCTAATAAATTATAATAATTGTGCCTGGCAGCATGCGGTAATTTAAAGTAGATTAATCTAACAAGCCTTAAATATGAATAAATAATAAACATCTTCATGCATTGGGAATCCTATTCTGCTTAATTCTGAATGAATATTAATTACTCCTCATAAACCCAATGCAAAAATCGATCCGTGTGGAGAAGGCAAAAGGTATTAAGTATACCAAATTGGACAGGGCCCAGATGAATATTCTCATCATCAATTAAAGTCGGATTGCACTGCCGCTCGGCTCCGTCACCGGCTGCCTGGTGACAAGAAGCAGGCTTTAAAAAAAACGGGGTCTGTGCTCTTGCGGGTTATATTTGATTTTGTAGCCCTTCTTTCGTGGCTGGGATAGCTCAGGAATTCTCTGGTGTCCCTGTGAGAAAAGGGGAAGCCACGGGTGATGCTGGCCATCGAGGTGGTGGCTGGTGCCGGCAGCCGGCATCCCCCCGTGCCACGGCACGTCCTCCAGCCCTCCCGCGGGCAAAATCCAGGGAGCTGAGAATCAGGAGATTGGCTTCCCGACTTCTGCAGGCATAAATACCAGAGAAGAACATCCTCACCTGGCAAAATGACCCCCTCGGGCCATGGTGACCTGTTGGGTAGGGTGAGATGCCGTCCCGGCAGCGGTGCGATGCGCCGGTGCCTGTTGCGCCGCGCTGTCCTGGTTTGGGCTGAAATAGAGTTAATATTCCTTCTCGGGGACTAGGTGAGTGCTGTGTTTTGGATTTAGCTTTGGGTTTGGTATGAACAGAATGCTGATAGCACACTGATGTTTTCAGCTGCTACCGAGGCTTCAAGGACTCTCCGACTCCTCACGTTCTGCCCGTGCGCAAGGGCGCAGGGAGGGAGCACGGAGAGAGCACCAGACCCAAACTGGCCAAGGAAACATGGAATATTTCATGGAATATTCCATGTCATGGAACGTCATGCTCACTACATAGAGGGGGGGTGGTTGGGAAGGAGCTCGCTCTCTCTCTTGCTTCCAGGATTGCAATTGCAGGATCTTGGTATTTCGGGATCTCTAGCTGGTAAAGGGGTGGGTATTGGTTAGCGGGTGGTGCATTGCCTGTTTATCTATTTTTTTGTTCTATCATCATCATTGTTCTTGTTTTATTGCCATTATTAAACCATTCCTATCTCAGCCTCTGAGTCTCCCTCCACCCCTCTAATTCCCTCCCCCATTCCCAGACGGGGAGGGGGAAGGGAGGGTGACCAGCTGCCAGGGGTTGGTTGCCGACCAGGCTCAAACCACGACACGCGCGGAGAGCGGGGCTTTCAACCGGAGCAAAACTGAAGACCTGCTTGGTTTTGAGTGGGAGCATATGGAAGATGGATGAGAGGGAGCATCTGCACCATCTGGTGTAGGGGAGCCCTGTCCTTCATCCTCGCACCTCCCCACGTTGCCGTTGTGGTTGGGTGAGATCCTTCCTTCCCTCCTGTTATCGCTGCTCTCCTAAGGCCGAGTCTTCCTTCGGCAAAATGCTTTGCTTCTGCACTGGGAGCTCCTCAGTGGGAATTTCCTTGGCTGCCTTTTTCTGGGCGTGGTTTGGGCAAATATATTTTGCCTGTACAAGCAGGCATCGGGATCTTGTGTTTGGCGAACGAGCCGGGAAGGATAATTGGGGTGTTTGGAGATACGAGGTCGTTCTGGGGCCAAGGCAGGGAGCTGGTGGGGGACGCTGGCTGCGGCGCAGGGCTGGGTCCGGCAGGAGCGATGCTGCTGTGGGGAATTGCTGGGTAAAACTGGGTTTGTATACCAGTGGGCTCCCAGGGATATGCTGTTTTGCATCTTGGTTTAAATCGTAAAGCCTGGCAGAGTTAAATGAAGGTCACCAGCTGTAAAACATGACAGGGACATCTTAAGATGTATCGTAAAATGAGCTGTAGCCTAGAGAAAGCTTACGACAGTATCTGCTGCAGGCTTTGGCCTCCATTTTTAAAGCTGCCTTGATCTTTTAACGTGGAAGTGATTCCCTGCTGTGGTACCACACCTGAGATCTGCAGATACTGTACTTAAGTCTGTCTGGAGGCCGCTGGTATCGTCAGAGTTTAAAGATAAGGGAGAAGGAAAGGAGAAATACATCCTTGTGTCTTCCTGAGCCGGGCCAGGGGCTTGTTTCAGATGTATGTTGAGCAGCTGCTCGTGGACTGAGGTACCG